TTAATAGCTCCTAGAAATACTTCCCACATAATGGTATGACATTAGCTAGCTGAAGACATTATTATCACTAATGTTTTACAATTATGTGAGAGGTATTTCTGGCAATTGTTTCTGCCACACCCTGTATGATAGACGAATGTTAGAACCGTTTATAAACGATATACGATGATCCGATATTTATGTCCCCATTTTTCCCGGAAGCTATAAACAGATATTATTGAATAGATCAGGTTCACAGATAGAAAATAGTTAACCTGTAGAAAAAGCCTATCCAGAACAAGCTATCCCATCTAAATAATCTTAAAATAGTCACAAACACTTCCAAAACCCTTATGGATATACTCAGATCCTCAAACACTAATAGCAATAATATTTCTGAAGCAGGTATTTATAAAATAAATTGCCAAAACTGTTTCTCCCAATATATTGGAGGAACAAGTAGAAATCTAAAAAAATCGCATTTATTTGCACAAAAGAGACCTCACAAAAAACAACTTAGCTAATGCACTGGTCATACATAGAAATAAATTCAACCACAATTTTGATTTTAAAAATGCTACACTCATAAAAAAAAGAAAATAACCCACTGGTATAGCCAAACACAATTGGTTATGCATTTTTGCCAACAAGATGCATTTCATAGATTGACACCTCTGCACAGCCACCCGGAACATTACTTGTCACATATATAACAGTCACAATTACAGAAATGAATTACCAAACACTTAACTGTGTCCACTTCTATTAATTGGTCTCCATAAGGCAAATGTCGATGAATGTCGAAGGGTGTTATTTTCCTGCACGGGGAAAGTTAGTGACACACCTCTCCCTTCATACCCATATTCATGTCAGATGTTATTTTGATAGACTACCGCTCAGCTGCTTTCTGTAAAGTAAATAAATTAAATTTGCTTGTATATATTTTATTAATCATAATTATTTAAAAAAAATTATTTATTCAATTATATTTCTTTTAATTTTTAATTTTATTTATTTCTTTCATTTATCGGATAACATTTTAAAGCGTTTAAATGTTGTATTCATGCCTTTTGTGACATTCAAAGATATTTTTACCTCGCTTCACATGTAAAACGTTGTATTATAAAAAATGGTTTGAATTATAAATTGCTATCTACAGTTTTTATAAAGATATTATTCTTTATGGTCAAAGTATATGAATTTATATTTCTGCTACATTGTTTTTTTTTGCGGGTGGGGGTAGATTGCTTATTTTAAAATCAGTATTTAGTGTGTTTTCGAAGAATTTCCACCCGAGTACATTATACATTGATGTAAAACGTTAGGTACATCAATACATGTAACTAAATATCTACAACTGGAATAAATAAAATAAATGAATCAATAAATGAAAAAAATTCTGTTTATCCTAACCGTAGAGTTGAAATTCCTTGCTGGTGTTAGAATCTTGGTATTGTGTTTCTAAAGAAGCGTCACATGGAAAAAGAAGACCAAAAAAATACAAACATTTATTTTCTTTGCAACATCTTATCTTTTTTTCACTTTCCGTATTGCATATTTATCTCCCTTTAATATCTACACGATTTCTTTTGTCAGTGTTTCTTTTGACTACTGTGCTGCCCATAGTTGTCTTAGTCGGTTGTTTTATATGCTGCCTAAATGTCTTGAGTGGTTAGTAATCCGAATCTGTAAACGTCTGAGTTGGGCAAACCAGACTGAAACATTACTTCGGCTTGCCAGGGAAATAGCTTAGTTACTTTCCTTTCCAAGAGACATAAATTGAGCGAGGTGTGATACTGTCGGAATTCCAGCCAGACAGCGACCCCAAATTTGCGAACAGTCAAGCGTAGCAAAATATGGCTCAAAATATCCCCCTTGAGAATGGATGCCGAGAAATTTCCAAGCCAACCAAGTCGTTATAATCCTCAATACTCCACCGTCTTTTGCTCTCTTTGGGCTCGTTTCTGTTAACACATACCGTGCATGGTTTTACGATTGGTCAGTGGAAATAATAGTTGCAGAATCAGATAATTCGCCACCAGTATTTATATGTTTTTAGACAAATCAGAGGCTTTCACCTGAATTGTTCTATATTTCTTTTCATTAAGGAATATCTGTTTTCAATACATAAGAATATATCAAAGCTTGTAGAAGAAACAGTTGTAGATATTTATTCTAGTTAGATAGAAAAACATTGTAAAGATGCATCCGTGGCTATTTTATAAGATGTATTTTGTTTAGAGGTTTCAATCCCTATCCCTAAAGCAGGTAATTGGCCTGATTTTAAAGCATGAACATTATGATTAGTGACATCATACGATCACATATACAATTAAGAGTTTGTACTGTTATATTTTTAATGATATCTCTATACGTATCTCAAAATTCCTAATTATTTTACAAAAGGGCAAAGAATCAGACACACACACAGCCACATCGTATATATATATATATATATATATATATATATATATATATATATATATGTGTGTGTGTGTGTGTGTGAAAAAGTGTATATAAATATAAATAAATATATATATGTATAATTATTTATATATATTATATATGGTTTATTAAAAAAGTATCAGAGATAGAGCTAACATATTTGGTTGGATAGATGTGAGTTTGTGACCCTGGGTTTCACGTTTTAGCGATCGTCAGACAAACCGTGAAACCCAGGGTCACAAACTCACATCTATCCAACCAAATATATATATATATATATATATATATATATATATATATATATATAGTGATCATTGAAGTCAGCACTTAGAGACGACAGCACCTACCATAAAACAGCGAGTCGCCTCTGAGTGTTGACTTCAATGTTCACTTTTTATATATACTTTTATATATTTTACATACGTTATATCTCAGATATTGAGTACTTTACCCCATAAATATACCTTAAAACTATATTTCGTTATATATATATATATATATATATATATATATATATATATATATATATATATATATATATATATATATATATGCATGTGTTTGTGTGTAAGGAAAAATACAAATAGGAAACATATCTTTATCTTATCATCCTCTCGGATTCCGACACGTATTTGATCTTTAACACACACGCACACAATCTCTGTCTGTCTCTCTCTCTCAACAGACACACACACACACACACACACACACACACACACACACATATATATATATATATATATATATATATATATATATATATATATATATATATATGATATATAGTTGATCCGATTTTTTTATAATGTAAATAGCATATTATTTATATAAGATTCAACGGTCTATGAAATGCGGAATTATTTTGAAATGAGTGTTTTTGAAAAAGAAAAAAATGGCTACAGTCGTATTTGATTGATTTTTATCGAACAAAAACTGAATCTGATTCTTCACTAATAAATATATATATTGTTCTAAAGACAAAAGAACACAAAGAATTAAAACAAGTAAATACCCGTAAAAAAATTCCAACATTTAGTTTACCTCAAAACCTTAAAAATCCTCATTACTTTTACTATCACTTGGAAAGAATCAGACATTTCTTGACTAGGTCGAATATTAGGATCAAAGAAATGCCATCTTCAGCCCTATCCAATGCGTTACTGATAACATATTTACTAAATTATTACATTATTTCTTTTTCCCCACGAATTCTACGCGTAAACCTAAGCAAGCATCATTTTTTCCCAATATATTAATCATATTTTCGATGTTTATGATGTGGGCGGATTTTTGTTTAAGTGTATCTTATACTTCAAAAATGCAGTAGATTCCTCATTGCTTCAAAAGGTAGATCGTAGTTGAATAGTTTGATTGTCTTTGCTATTGGATTTCAATTCATATGGATTATAATAAAAAAAAATAGGCACAACAAAACGATGATCGACTAATAGATATTTGAATAAGTGAGCAAGCAGACAGACTTTGCAGGTCAGTGTTTTTATATATAAATTGATATTTGTGTTTTAGTGTGTGAAAAAGAAATAAAGAAAGAATGTCATATACACTGAAATCAAAGCAAATGTATTTTTTGTAGGTTGTTAGAGAGAATATAAATTAAGAAAGATATGAAAAAAACAAGTTCAGTTTATAATGAGAGGTAACTGACAAAAAAAAAAAAAAACAAAATCAGAAGAATTCAAATGAACAAGATGTTTTCTAAAGTGTCATTAACTCGAGGACTCGCCGTAACCCCCAAAATATGTCGGCCTGAAGTTTTTTTGTTTTTTTGTTTTTTTTCATGGAGAAAACAGTGAAGTCGTATTGTTTCTTTGTTGTAACTTAACATCTTGCTTAGAAATATTTTTGTATGTTTATCTCTGTTTCTACCCTGAAGAAATATTTTTTTAAGACAAAAGGAAAGAAAAAAAATGATGCTGCATTCTTTCTGGCGGTTAATTCTGCCGACCCGACCGCCATCACCTTTCGACTTCTTCATCCTCAACTTTCAGTAAATCTACACATCATCGGCTTTTGTGGATGAGAACGGAGATTTTTTTCCCCCTTGATGTTGTCTTGACTTGGACCCTTTTCTTTCTCGCTAACATTTTTAGCCATTTTTTTTTCAAATGATTTTTGCGTTATAAGTCATTGTTACATTGTTACATTGTTTCATTGTTACATTGTTACATGTGTGTGTAAAATCTTATTTATGGGACGTTAAATCTTCCTATCTACATGCATATGCAAGGTTTTGTATTTCTGTATGCAGACATTTTCTTATACAAATACGTATATCAACTTCGGCATTCTTACAGATGTGTCACACCAATATTACAATGTGCAGCCATACAAACTTGTGTCTTTTCAAGATATTTAAAAACATAGATATTGGGTTGGAGCATAATTATCAGGAGTTTTTTAAAACAATTCAATAACATTTTTAAATGATTATCAACGACAGACATTTTAATAACATGAAAATAAAATATTTTTATTAAAAAATAAAACAAAACAACGATTTTTATTAACAAATAAGTCGCCTACAAAAACGACTGATAATTATGCACCAACCTAATATGAACAGCGAATCCACATTTACAACTGCAAATACTCACGTCCTCTTTAAGGAACAAGTCTTTCTTCTGTCTTTCTCTGTTTCTCATCCACTTTTCTCTTTCTCTCTTTCTTTCTCTCTCTCCTTCTCACCACCCTTTAATTTCTTTTTGTTTCTTTTCTTCGCTCCTTTTTTATTTTCTTTTTTTTTGTACCCCTGTTCCTTTTTTTTTTCGCTTGCTCCCCTCTTTTCGTTTCTTTTTCGCTTTCTCCCCTCTTTTCGTTTCTTTTTCGCTTTCTCCCCCCTTTTCGTTTCTTTTTCGCTTTCTCCCCTCTTTTCGTTTCTTTTTCGCTTTCTCCCCCTTTTCGTTTCTTTTCGCTTTCTCCCCTTTTTCGTTTCTTTTTCGCTTTTCTCCTTTTCGTTTTCTTTTCTTTTTCTTTTCGTTTCTTTTTCGCTTGCTCCCTTCTTTTCGTTTCTTTTTCGCTTACACACCTCTGTCCGTTTCCTTTCTCGCTTGCTCCCTTCTCCGTTTTTCAATCTGCTTTTTTCCCTCCCCATTCCCTACCTGGCCGTCTCTCCTTTTATTTTACCCACCCTTTCTGCCACTTCTCCTCCTCCTTCCCTCTTTCCGTTCCTCTTCCCCGTAATCGCTTCCCCCTCTTCGTTCCTCTCCCCCGTCCTCGCTTCCCTCTCTCCGTTGCTCTTCCCTGTCCACAGTTCCCCCTCTGCGTTCCTCACCCCCTTCCATTGTTCCCTCTCTCCCTTCCTCACCCAATCTCTCCGTCCCTCGCCCACTCCTTGCTTCCCTCTTTCCGTTCTTCGCCCCTGTTCTTGTTTCCTATTTTCCGTTTCTCTTCTCCGTCCTTTCTTTTCTTCCGCAATTCTCTCTCTCTCTCTCTCTCTCTCTCTCTCTCTCTCGTGTTATCACTCCGTCTTCTTCTGACATATTTGCAATGATCGCCATCTTTGGATCAAGCTTAAACTGATAGAACAGTAAGCAGATTCTCAGCTCATGGGAGGTCTTGCCCCATCGCAGTTATGTCAGAAAAGATTGCTAGTCGAATTTCCCCAGTATCTTGCGTTTTCCCCCCTTGTAGTGGCCCTCTGTGCTTCTTTTTCATTGACAAACACATTTGAGATAAGCTCCGTGCACTCTCACACAGAACATAACCTCTTCTTGCGTAGATTTTTGCTTTAGATTGGCTTAAGGCATTTGTCTCTGCTTCTCTGCTTTCTATCTCACAATATAATATATATATATATATATATATATATATATATATATATATATATATATATATAGGTATGTGTGTTAGAGCCAAAAAATTTTTTGCCAAATTTCTTTTATGCATGCTCCTTTTCTCATTATATTTTATCTCTTACATTGACATTAATCCACTTTGGGGATACATAAATAAAAAGAGGCATGAAAACAAATCTAAGCCAAATGGTTGCATTATAAACTTAAATAATGTATATATGTATTACAATTGTAAATCAATAAATATATAACCGAATGGTTAAAATTATTGTATGAAAAATATAGTTTTTCTAAAAATCTTTATTGTTATTGGAATTAATTCAGTAGAGTGAACAGTATACAGTGAAAAATCAGTTAATGGTTAAAATTATTGTATGAAAAATATAGTTTTTCTAAAAATCTTTATTGTTATTGGAATTAATTCAGTAGAGTGAACAGTATACAGTGAAAAATCAGATCAGAAATCAAGTAATAGCTGTCTTGCTCCGGATTTCTTGATTTACCCCTATGTGCATTGAAAATGACAGCGGATAAGAGTGCAACGTGCACATGTGCAAATGCCAAAATGATAACGTGGTCATCGCAAAACGCCTGCAAACACACTCCTAAATATTAGTTCAGCTACTCATGAATTTCCTGTCGACGCAACTCTGATCGCTCGGTCATAAGCGGTCTACCAACAAGTGACGTCTTCGGCGCACAAATCTTTGGCACGGTGATTAATGCAAAGACGATGGTCATGCTTCACTGACCAGCAAACAAATAAAAAAAACGCCTTCTGTCTCCAACCTGCCAAAGGATTCCATCTACCTTGGTTTGAAAGTGTTATATCATTCGACACTAAACTGGGAAGAAAAATAGCCAACACGCTCACAAAGACTAATCAAGCCTTTGATAAACTGCACAAACATGTCAAGGGCAACAATAACCTCAACGATGGCACGAAGTCTAGTGTCTATAAACAATAAAACTGCCCACCGGTTTGTTGTTGCTGAATGCTGAAAGCTGAATTATATACCGGCGCCATCTACGCCTACTCGAGCGCTTATATCATCATTGCCCTCGGACAATTCCAATTCTAAAAGTTCATTGGATTGATTCCATGATAAACTCATACAATATCTGTCTATATTTCTGAAATGAGGAATTATGTACACTATTTACATTATTTGGACTATTGTCCTCATCTTTGTTACCATATTTATCAACGTTTCAGCTGTTGTACGCTCCGGCCTTCTTCAGGTGGTTGGAATGTCGTTTGAACCCTTTATTTCGCTCGCTGGGGTAGACTGTTCTAGTTCCACGTACCATGTCTAATGGATGTCAGTTATGAATTATATCTTGATAATTCACTATAGTTCTCCACTGCCTTACCCAGGTATTGAACTCAAATCTCTTTGGGTCCTGTCACTGGATCTAACCAACACCTTTATTCTTAAGGACACCTGGCACAGTGGATAAACTCATACAAATTCAAGAGTAAAGAGTTGCTTACAACTCATACATATTCAAAAGATTTGAAGCTCTGCTGCGACCGGCTGGTCGGTTGTGACGGAGAGCTATCGACTTCCAAAGACACTCATTCGAAAGACTAGCTAGTAAGCAACTCTTATGTAATAGAGGCTATAGAAAGAGACAGTGGAACATTATGAGACTCATAATAATGAATAAAGTGTTTGAAGAGTTTAAGACTAACGTAACATATAGACTTCAAGAAAGGCATGGGAAGACTCGAATAACCTACTGAGTTTTTGTAAATGGATAGCAAAACATGAACTGTGAGATACAGTAAGGGGACAAATATTGCTTAGAGATCCAAAAGATAGGAAGTTGTGGAGCGTCGTGATTGTCAGTATCTAACACTGGACATAAAAAGCAACAGCCACTATTTAGCGGGAAGTGGCAGAATGAGATAAATTTATCAAGCAAACTCTCTAAAAGGATAAAAGACATTACGTAAAGACGAACTTCTCGCCGGCTGCCAGGCCTTCTCCTGCAGTCGATGCAAAAAAAAATAAAAATAAAAAAAAATCTAATAACTCTCACTACCTCAAATAGACATTCAAAATATTATTAAATTATCGTCCCCGAAGCCAAGTGGTCAGATCTAGGTATGTGCATTGAGAGTAATATAAAAGGAGCACTTTTTCAGTTTGTTTTCAAAATACCTGGTAGATTTTTAAATCTACCAGGTATGTCTCATTTTAATTACATTTGTGATGAAAATGAAATCATTTAGAGCTTTCTGTGTACATATCTTCGTATAATTTTATTTTGTAGTATGACAGTTGTTCAATTTTATTGCACAAAATTCGCTATATTTAAGATGGTGGAAAGTTTAATATAGAGCATAGAGCGTTTCTAAATATAAATTAATATTAGATAGCAACTATTCTATGCTCCCTTAAGGCAAAGATCAGAATGTGTATTTAATTATGCATGTTTTACACACACAGAGACACACGCACACATACGAGAAGGTAATGAAAAGTTCTGTCCCGACCAAGATGCCCTTCCGTAAAAATCTGATTTTATTTATCTGACTTTTCCGCTAAGTTAAGATGTGACACAAGTTTTTATTATGTGGGGTGTAATATGAGTACATATGTACTAAGTACAAAAATTACTCAGTCCCCGTGACCACTGTAATGCTAACGTCAATATTACATTGACCCCGCCTCTCTTAGTGCAATGAGGAAGACGCTGTCGCAGGGTTAGAATCACCAGGACCGGGCACCTTCTTCCTTTTAAAATGAAAACAACAGATACTACGCTTTGATCCCGGCTCGAAGACCGTCTGTAAAAATCTGATGTTTTTCTTATTTGATGATATTCTGTAAAGCAGGTCATGTCAATACTTTTTTTAATACCCGCTTTGTATGTCGTCGCATATATTTGGGGGAAAAAAAAAGACCTGTGAATTTACTGGCAGTAAAAATGGGTTAATCGCTCTGTAATTGTGTGTAATTGTATGTAAGTTTATATCCTTCAATTAACGTTCTTCAACATATATTTTAACTTGCCGATATCAAAGTCGGTAGACAAAGACATATAGTCTTGGGTTTCAATTCAAGCACCGTCTAATCTATGTCAAAATCAAAAGAATTGTTTCATGAAAAGGTAGCAATGACACATAAACACATGCCAACGAGAAATACTTTCTAAGCTTCACTCGGGTGCATTCCTCTCCGTCTGCTTATCCAAATAAAGAAGGTTACAGATGCATGGATGCAAAATGCACTCAGCTAAAGCGAAACAGTCGCATATATGCATTATGCGTTTAAGAATATATAAAAAAAAAAAAGAATGAAAGATAAGGAAATAGAAAACTACAGATTGTAGGAGTTATACAATAACTGCTTCCGATTAACATGAATGCTTACAACATAGATGAATATTTTAACGGTATTTCTACTGTTTCCCGCCATTTTCTTCAATCCCCACCTTTCCGGCCACATCTCCCAGCTTTGTTTCCCGCCATCTATAATGCTGAACACAGGCTGCCATTAAAATTTCGTTCATGCATGCATAAAAATGTAATCCCAATTCGCACCTGCGTACGCAGAGTTGCAAAGCGTTGTACACAGATTTCTTATATTTCTTTCCCTGCTTTTAAGCTCAGCACAAATATTTGGTTTCTCTCAGTTTTCCTCTCCTTTGAATAAACACATTTACAAGGTACACTCATTTAAACTGTCTGTGCCTACTTGTTTGGACATTAAGTTTTTTATATATATATATATATATATATATATATATATATATATATATATATATGTATATATATTCAGGTAGCTTTCCTTTTTAACCGGTATATATTACATCGAATCATGCGAAGTAAACTGAATACATCAGTTAACAATTGTTTGCACGCACGTTTGCTTCAACATATATATATATATATATATATATATATATATATATATATATATTAGTTGTTTACTGAAGACAATTGGGGTTAAGATCAAAAGATGAATATGAGACAGGTGTTCAGAATTTCAGCATTTATTCCCTGGTATTTACATTTAGATGTGTTAAACGGCTTAGAATATACGACTTTTTGTATCACCTCACACCGTTTTTAGGCCAGCAAAAGTAAAGGAACAACTAGTCTTAAAATAAATAATAATTTAATATTTGGTTGCATAATCCTTACTTGTAATACAGCATCAACATTGTGAGTCATTAACATCACCAAACTGTTGCTTTCTTCCTTTGTGATGCATTTTCAGTTCTTCTCAATTTCGGGGGGTTTCTTCCTTCAGTCTCTTCTTCAGAAGATGAAATGCATTCTCTGATGGGTTAATGTCTGGTCATTGCCTTTGCCAGTCTAAAACTGTCCACTTTATTCCCCTGATGATAAACTCCTTTGTTGTGTTGGCTGTATGTTTTTTTGGCCATTGTCCTTGTTATACTGGAACACGCCTATTCTATTGTTAATAGACTCTCCCACCTATAATAAATAGGAGTAGTAGCAGTCGCGAGTCGCTCAGTGAGTTGGTCAGTCAGTCGATGTCGGACATTAAAGTATCAGTTACCACAACTAGATTGCTGCGTCATTAACTATTATATCAAGTTCCTAACGTTTTTTATACGTCGATCCTTTTTAGGACCGACTTAGTGAAATACAAGCCTCCACCGTGAAACTACTCTATAACAGTCCTGCTGATTGATATACATCC